CCCCAAAACCCCAAAACCCCAAAACCCCAAAACCCCGCAAGAAATGAATTTGCATAATTTTGAATTAATAATAATTATAAAATCTCTCAAATATGTCTCAAGAACAACACGCAAACCTTGGAAGTATAGAACAAGTATCCTCAGAAGATGTTTCATAGAGAGCTTTTGAAACTTATCAAAAGTCAAACTTTAAAGAAACTCAAAAGTAAGCAAGACAATTGTAGTGATTTAATTATGAACTTTAGGATGTTGGATAAACTGAAAACTAACTTAGAAAAGGATTCTAGATATTAGTAAAATTTGTTCATTACAGAGTATTATGCTAACAAATGCAAATTTCCTCAGAAATATCTTAGTGATATGGTTAATTTAGCCTAAGATATGGTGCAAATAACAAAAGCACCAGTCTGCTCTATAAAAGCCGTTCAAGAAAACGGACTATCTCAGCAACTTGTGCAGTTCGGAAATCTTTATCAGACTCAAATAAATCCTCCTTATAGCAGTCCCTAGTAGTATAATGATCAAACTCAAGGAATTCATGGCTAAAATACTAGTGGAGGTGTTTAGCATAGAACAGGTACATCAACTATTCAGAAATCTAATAACCAGTCATCAAGTAATGATGGTGTCCAAGGATTTCCATTAAGTTTAGGAGAGGTAAATCCCGTCCTATTATATAATATTGCGGCATTGAGCTATCAGCTCTAGTAGTATGGCAAATCTCTAAGCTACTTAATAGAAATATTGAAAAACCTTGAATAAGTTGAGGAATTCCTAATGATTAAGAGTTTATTCTTAATGCTTCAAATACTTTATGAATTAAGATAGCCAGCATCATCATGGCCAATTATAGCTTATTTAGAGCTAAAGCTTAGGGAATTCTCTTAAATCATCTAGTAGAAGTAATTAATCAGAAATTTTCAGCATTAGGAAGATCAAAAGTCAAACAATTAAAACTAGGAAGAATCAAAGTCAGAAGGTTCAGGCTCAGGAGAATAACTAGATGAGAGCGTGTTAAACAAGAATAGTTTTTGCATAGTGAACTCATCTTATCTCAGAAAACATGCCATATCTCCAAAGAACATGAATATTCATGAGTATAAGTTTTTGTTGCATAGCTATAAGGCTATTTTCATGATACTTTAAGATGAAATTCAACTTGCTCAAGCTGAAATAAAACTTGCTAGTGAATTAAAAGATAGATATGGGTAGGATCCAGTTAAAGTAAAAACTCAAATTAATGTCCTCGCAATGGTGCAGCATCTTGGAATGGTCAATAACCTTAAAGCCTAGATTTATTTCAAAGAAGGGAATTACCTAAAATGTATTAAAACATTGACTTTAGATGAGAAACCAAGCAGTAGTCCTCATCCATCCTGCAAGTATTAAAAGCATAGCGATGATCAAAGTAAAAATGACTCAGTTTATCAAAAGTGCTAAAACTCTTTTCCCCACTATTATTTTAATAACTTGGGAATCGTACACTTGAAACTCTAAAAATATAATCTCGCTATTTTCTATTTCTCAAAAGCTCTCAAATATGTGGAAAAAAGCTAAAATGGTTAACCAACTTTATAATTTGATTAAGAAAATCCAAATGAGCATATAAGTCATCTAAATACGCAAAAAGTCTCAGAAATTCTCTATAACTACGGACTGGTAAGTATATATTTGATAAAATATTTATAGGCTTTATTCAAAGTTTAAAGATACTAAGAGGCATTCAGATGCTTTGAAAAGGCTTCATTAGTGCTTAGACACCATCCAAGAGTAATTATTTCAATTTTCATATTTATTCAAGCTCTGGTATTATATGGGATTAAGTTGTCTTAATTTAAATCAAGAATTATTCCAAGAAAATCTAAGATAATCAAGTTCATCGGAAGTATTCAGCAAAGTTCTTGGTCAAAATGAGCCTTCTTATACTAAGAATAATTAGACATCATAGCATAAGAGATTTGTATTAAATCAGCAAGGTGATCCATTGAAAAACTAAGAGAGCTTAGTTTCTGACTATGATCAAACCTAGCTAGAAAAACTAAAGTAGCAACAATAAGAGATTCTTAAATCTCAGAATTTGGGTTATCAATAAAAATAGACTAAAGCTTAATAGAAAAAAGAAAAACTAGCATAGCAGCAAAAATAGAGCCAAGTAAACATGCCACCAGATTCTATGAGCCTGCAAAGCTCAATAATGTATCTTTAAAATGCATTGATGGGCATTGAGGAGTAAAAAAATAATGAGATTAACTACTCAATGTATATTAAATTTATTCTCAGACAGCAAAATATCAACTATCATATCAACAATGAAAGAGTTTCAGCGACATAATACGGTTCTGCTTCAGGAGTAAACTAAACAATATCAGATTCACTTTCAGAGTCAACTGACGCTTAAAGCATTCTAAGTGGAGAAGAGAGCTCTTCAGTGATGGATTTCCCATAGAATTAACAAGAACTTATAGCCTATAAATAGTAGCTGATATAGAAAATGTAATTCTCCATATTCTTAATAAATTTTCCTTTAGAGATCATAAATACTTAACTCTTAAGAGAAATATCCATACTCATCTATGCTACCTGTTTTTAATAACTAATGATTATCAAAATGCAATCAAAACTGGAAATCTCATTCTAAGAAATCTAAGTCCCAATTCCTAAACCAAGTAAAACCTTTTTCTTTATTTATATAGATTTACTGTGATGCAATATATTGCAGAGGCTCATTCTATGCTTGGCCAATATTAATAGGCTCTAGAATGCTTAAAGCTAGAAAATGTTCTTGACAATGAAGTGAGGCTTAAGGTTGACAACTTAGCGAACAGTATGAGTGAAGAAAACCCAATTACATCAAAGATCATCCAACAAGTGAACATTTGTGCAATTTAGATGAGTGCTGGTAATATGGATCAAGCCAAATTAGCTGTTGACTAAGTTCTTGAGACTCTAGAACTGAAACTATAAACTACTGAAATGGAGTCTAAGTACCTACTTCCTTCTTATTTAATCAACCTGCTGATTTATTTCTATATGAAAACAAGTAAGTCATTCTTTTCTCATGCATGAGTTAAATTTTACAATAGGAAATTTTAAAATGGCTAGATAGTTACTTAAAAGTAGAAGATATGTCTTAGATACAGGGCATATAGAACCAGCAGTCTCAGGGTAGATTTCAATTGCTCAAAAATCAAGAAACAAATCAAAGACTATGATTAGAAATTTCTCTTGAAATTTAAAGATTCTTTCTTTACTCATAAATCATTCACTACTTCTATTTTAGCATATAGGGGTTTTGGGGTTTTGGGGTTTTGGGT